CGGGGTATTCTTTTAAATTATGCTAATTCATTCCTACATCCTCTGTTGTGTAATATTACGTCTCCCCGGTGATAATTTACGTGCTGGGGTATTTTTTTATTTTTTGAAAAGTTGGGATATTTTTTTATATATGGCAAAAGTTGGGGCATTTTTTATTGTCCCTTTAGAAAAACAATCCCACTCCTCGCACTCAGCACTTATCACCCAGTGGTGGATGATTCTTAGCTATTCCTCCGGCATACTAGGAGCAGTGAGAGGAGATAGAAAAATGACTATTCAGGGTACTCGATCCACGGATGATGATCTTTCTCATCACTCACCGTTGGAGCTTTTCTTCTACGCACGATAGTCCTGTTGAATCGCGACAAGAGTGAACAATCATTCTGATCACCAGGTCCAAGCCTCTTTACTCGCGACTTACAGTAGACTTTCATCTCCACAGCATCTGGCACCAGAGCTCGCTCTCTCACACTCTTTATTGACCCTGGCACAAGATACGACAGCTCACAGCTGCTCCTTACCATATTGCCAAAGATACACTCGTGTGACAACAAAGTATAGTCGGCTCTATCTGAAATAAACTCTAGAAACCCGCGACCTACACGCACTCTGTCCGGTCTCATCATCAGACTGCAGCTCATTATCACCTCTGTTTTCCAAGCTTAGCTCGCTGCCTAGGAATACCATTGTCATCAGTTTTGAAAAGTCTCATGTCTGCACGGAATCTGTCGCAACTTTGAGCCTGGCAAAAGTGCCCCTGTTTCCCGGTGACGGTAGGTTCCTGACCCGCCAAAGTTCTATCAGGCGAAAAAGCTAGTAGCACATAATTTTTCCGACTTCCAGTCGATCCATGGCTCATTGCGCTCCAACCAAGTCATTTCTAGTATGACGTATCATCTTAGGTCTAGATACAGAGTTCAATATTTTCTACACAGCATTTCACTCGAAGAGCTTACATAATTTCCGGAACTATACCTCTATCCTTCTCTTATGATACACGAATAGCGTGATTGTACTTTGATGACTGCAATGCCTCCGCATACGGTCTACTATATTCGGCAGTAGCGCATTGTGTTTTATCGGATGATGATCCTCTCATAATCTTGCCTGTAACACGGCTTTACAAAACCGGGGACGTTGACATCAACAACAACCAATCCTGCGCTGCGCGCTCCACATCTCGTAGTGAGCTGCGTGATTTAAGGCTGTACCCCTACAAATAAAACCATCTGTGTCTTCATTGGGCCCTATGGGACTCGAATTTGGGCAGGAGGGATTCATCGCCCGCTTTTGCGTGGAATTTCGACCATTCGTAAATTCCGATTCAATAGAAAAATCGCACTCGAGGGTCGAATGATATACTAAAAATCATTCGACCCTCGCAGCACGAAAGCTTAACTCTGCATTGAATGCGGTGCACGCAATTTCGCCACAGACGTAGAGTGAACGCGAAAGGTCTTGGTTGATTCCGAACCTGTTTGGAGTCCATTCATGAAGATGGTACTATTCCCGCCTCCGGCAGACGGTCAGCCGCTTTTGCGGTGATGTGGGTTCTTCTTATTATTTCTTGACAATAGCTCGTCAGTCCTCATCTCTTTAACGACTGCACACGAAATTCGGGCACATTCTATATGTCTGACTAGGATAGACGAATGTATTTATGTATCGGCTCGCGTATCAGTCGCTGTATACTTTTCCTGCTGGTAGCGCCTTTTTTACCAAAG